CCAGTTCTTACAGTTATTCGAGCTGCAAAACGAATAGATCAACAGTACTAACGCTCATAATTAGTACGAAACGACAAGAGATCGTCAACAACATGGACAACTTGAGATCGACCTGTTGAGAGAGGTCACTAAGGGCTCGGTGGGCGGAAAGCATACGACTTTAATATTCCGTATTAGCAGTTGCAACGAGGAATATGATTGGTCCCAATATGGTTTCGACGTACAGCCCCCTGCAACTGTTGAGGAACAGGAGAACTTGTTGTTCTAATGAAGTCTTTGGTTCAACAGTCCTTACCGTAGCTAAGGACACCTAAATCAATGAAGGCGTTATTCGTTTTAAGAAAAATATTTGTGTAAAATGATCAAGAAGCGTTCAGTAAAACCTACGTAGCTATCATGCGGTCTGACTCGAAGTACTTTAGACGAGTCCGACGGCCGCGACTCAAGACGACTTCTTTAAACCAACAGGAACGTACCAGCTGTGTGAACATCCTATAAAGCGCAAAGTGAGTTGACCCACAACTCAGGAACCACCCTCTCACAGGCATATTGCCATAGGTTTCGCTGCCAGATATGCCAGTTATCCGTGTAAATCCAAGACTAGTTAACAACTAATGAGCATTCAAAACTTTCCCACCAAAGGATCCTTGTAATCACACAGCTAAGCTGAACGAAGCATTCTAGCCCGTCGACGCGAACAGTGCTGCCAGTTATCTGAACGTAGAGCATATTTCGAAACCGACTGACATAAACGTAATTGATCCGATAGTCATAAAGACCGATTTAAGACACGAGGAGGCCTAGAGCTTCAGGCAGCACATACTAAGCTCCGAAAACGGAATTCTGACAGGTGCCAAGTAAGCGCTTGATCTAAAAGGACTGCCACAGGGGTCAACTTGCTGACTGACGGAAAAAGGGATGTGAATGCACGTTACTTCATCATTTGCTGTGCTCTTCCCGCATGGAGATTAAAATGTGGGGTTATTTGCGCATCCCAGAAGAAGAATCAAAAAGCACATACACTGACTTGTCCGACCGTCAGAAGTACGCAAAACGGCACTAATAACCGCAAGATATGAGCAGCATTCAAAAAGCCAAGGTCGAACGACTTAAGTAAGATTAGAATGTGAAAGGTAAAAGACAGGAAGGCCTAGGATTCAAACAACTAGTTGCGGGATGAGTGGTTAGAGGTGAAAGCGCACATGTAGGAACGTTGGTGTGCATTTTTTATGCGTTCGTGAAAATGGCCTGTCATTCAGAAGGATGGAAGGAAGCAGGGGGTAAAGCTATGATGCCACTTTCCCACTGAAAGCCAACTGTTCAAGATCCCCTGGATCGACATCACCGATTACGCCTAAAAGGAAAGGAAGAGGACGAAAATAAGGGCCCCAAGTCTGAGGTTTTGGGAGCAGGTACGAGCAGTTGACAGCTAGAAAGTGAAATTCCAGCCACCTTGTCGGCAATGCGGTTTACGTTCCGGAGTGAGGAAAAACGTGGCAACATATCTATGTTTGTATACAATTTTTAACAATTGAAAATGTCTAAAGACATTCCAAAAGATAGGTCCTACACCCGACATTTTCAAATACGTCCGACTTAAATAGATGCCAGCTAACGAAGCAAAAATTTATTCGGGTCAGGAGACCGGAAGCGGGCTTTTTTCCCTTTTTTGTCTTAATAATAGTTCAAATCTCCTCAAGATATCTGTGCTTATCCCGTTAGTCATCCTTACAACCTAAGAAACTCCGCATTGATTATACCTCCTCCAAGTCTAAAAGCCCTCTATTCCTTGCTTCCGGGTGCAGCCTTCTTTGGAATAACATGCCAACTGAAATTCGGTCATTGACTAGTCTATATGCATTCAAGCGAAGTTTGCACATGTATCTTAACACTGATTCAATTAAACTTTAACTGTCCTCAGCTTTTCCGAGCAGCTTTCTCCATGACTCCGAGGAAGTGACGTCGGAGGTTTAAGAGACCCTCTTAAAACTATTTTTTCTGGCTAGTATCCCCCAGGAATCACAATGTCATCTTATATTACCGGTCATTGAAACGATGGAAACCAAATGGACGTACAGTCTATACTGCTCTCGTTTCGTTAACTACTCACCATTATCAGGATTCTATTCTGACTCCTGAGATGTCGAGGACCTACTTTCACTGATGCTTTTTCGCAAAATTTCATTTCACGCGCACTAGCGATCACGGGCGAACTATATAAAAGTTGCATTACCTCATTCTGAACAGCTATTGTGGGATAAATCTACTCTACCCCTCATCTTATTCTCCTAAGCAGTTTTTTCTCCTAGACTCCTTTTTGAACGCTGTTTCCATCTCTGGCATGAGAGTTCTTTTCACTGCCTATTTCTTAATTCACAATTAATTTCAAAACTTCGCTAAGTATGGGCCCACAAAGGAAAACTGCTGCTTAAATTACTACAAATTTGAACATTATATCTGCGCACATTGTTCTAATTTTATTTCGGTACTACGATTGTTTAGATAGTGCTTTCCTGGTGCTAACAAATATAAATCCAAAATAAAAATAGGAGAACAAACGTACGCTCGCCAATTTATCTTTTGAAATTTTCAATTGGAATATTCACAAATATAAATAATAAATTCTAAAAGGGTCTTCAAAAGCGTCGCCTATTACCCTAAATATATTCAACCATGTCACAGTTAAACTGCCTAATATTTCGTCATTGGCTCTTACGAAACGAGTCACAGGTCGTCAGAAGACGGCGAGCATGGCTGATTAGTCAGGATACTGCTTGGTAGTTTGGGTAGAGAATAAATGGGGACAGATCCTGACAGATTTCATTAAAACCAGATTGTACAAAAAATTGAAAGTGGATAGCCAAACTATGCAGGCTAAACAAACTCATAAATACCTTAACTGTGGGAAATCTATGGGTTAACCGCCATGAGCGACGAAATCCGCCATAAACCAAGGAGCTTGACACGGAAGTGACTTGCACATGCTACACCTGCGCCACTCTCTCTTTCAATACTCCCCAAGTTACCGCGGCATGACAAAGTCCAGACGACCGGAGGTAGGCGTGGCGAAGTGACTAACAAGGCTAATCAACTCGTCCACGTGTACTACAAAGACTTAGTTCCTAACCCAATCGATGTACCATAGGGCCTTCAAAGGCAAGTATAAGTATATTGAACTAAATTCCCCTCACAAGTTCGAGTCATTGCAGCGTGACCTCAAATCAAGCTGACGCGGGAAGGGGTAATAGTTGGTGCAGCGGCTGGATTTAATTGCAGTCGCCGTCTAATGCGTGTTGCGCACAAGCTCAATAAAGTACGTTAAGGGAGCACTGCATTCTGGCCCTCGTTCCAAAGGAGTCCGATAGTGTAAAACAAATTACAAAAACAATAATACTACTTAAATTATTTAAACAACGCTATAATAGAAGTGCAAGACGTCCTCGATCTTCAACGACATCGACGGCGAGTCTCATCGTAAGGCGGTTACGGAGTAGAAATAGTAGATGAGTAAAAATATGATTCATTGGTTTATGACTCTTGTTGCTCATGAAGATGGTTATATGTTCAAACAACACTATATAGTACCTTCAACCGTCTACAAAAAGAGGCCCAGAACCCAAGAAAAAGGATACATTTCTGTACTATAAATACAGGGACCAATGAACTTTAAGGTAACTCTCTGAATTATTCAGGGGAAGAACTATCAAAAAGAAAAAAAACAGAAATCGGGCACATACCGATAACATCCAAAAATTCCGCGATTGATTCCACAGGAGAGAGATCTGACTCCAGGAAAGACAATAACTTTGGTGTAGCATTCAGCAGTTCCTCGTCCGATGCACGAATGTACTCGGACAGAGCCGAACGCCAGGATTCAGACTCGTCCGAGGCCGAAGCATCATTCACCGAAGGTATGACAATATCCTACGTGAGAGGCGAGTGAAAAATGAACATTTTAAGTATGTATATAGCAGTTAAAAGGGAGCTTTGAGTTTTAGATTTGGCTGAAAAGTAATTTGCATCGATCAGATAGAGGGCGAAAAGATGCGAACAGAGACAAAAGGAGATCACTTGGTGCAAATTTTGGTCTCTCAAACAGGCACTTTCGCGAGTTTCAGGCGATAGATAGAGGCTTTACTTCATGTCGACCAGAGCATGCGATCGTTAGGACTCACCATTTCTATCATCGCGGAAAAATGGCTGACTATCATGCAGCGCATTACAAGCATGGGTGACGCTCATTCTACCATGTGTATTTCCGCGGAACAATAGGACACGCTAGTCCGCTCCCGTGGCCGGGCTTGCCCCGAGGTGGAACAAACAGCACGCTGGAGATCAACCAGCGGCAACAGCCACCCGAGACAGCAACTCCGGGTTTTGTACACAATAAACCCTCTTCTCGGTGGATTCAAAAGTTACGCCCTTCCTATTGTATTCTTCTTTGGGGAGTGCCAAGGACGTAATTCGACGGT